TCATGAGACATGTTAACTTGTCAAAACCTTTCATAAAAGAGAGAGATGAGGGGGAGGGATGAAAATTTGAATCTTGATAATACAAGTAAGAAATTTTCTTTATACCAATAATTTTCTTCCTTTTATTCTTTTATTATCAGATGGCTGCTTTGCAATAGCAATGTTGCATTTCTCTATGTGAAAGATGGACTTAAATACAAATTATTAATTTATGTTCAAGTGGGCTAGGTATATCTCTTTGTCTATATAAACTATTAATTAGTCTTCAAGTGCGCTAGCTTTATCTCTGTCTATATAATGCGGAGCCCTGGAGAGGGTTCAGTTATAAGGTTAATTATATTCCAACTCTTCTTCTAGTCTGGGGTTAAATCATGGCGAAACTCACCAGGAGCTCTAACCCTTCTCCATATAACATTGAAATTTACAGGAAAACTAGGATTATGGTTTCCCTGTTCATCATCTTCTTTGTTGTTACCTCAAAACCGACTAATATTGCGGCTTGTAGGCCCGCAGAAGGCCATCAAAACCCTAGAGTGGTTGATCACAGTGATCAAGCACACTCTGTCTCAGCTGCTAGAACTCCCTCTCCGCCTTCAAGTCATTCGTCCTGCACTTACATACCCGGTGACAAAAGTGGAAACTGTCCGGCTGATCCATAGCTGAATTTGCACATAATTCAGTGCAATTACCACCAGTGCAGTGGGGATATCCATATGGTATTTACTAGTTCTGTAATTAATTAGTATGTGCATGTGCATGTGTATATATGTCTGTGATCACATGATCATCAAGAATAAGCTGAGATGTGTAAATTTCATTTTCATGTTATATGCCTAATAATATTGTGTAAGTTCATGTGTGTTTGCAGTAAATTAATAAGAACTTCTCTGTATCTCTTCCCTGCTTTACTTCTTTGTATAAATTAGTTTTTTTTTTCTTAATTTCATTAATATATCTTATGAGTTATATAAAATAAAATTACATTTTTTTTTAATTTCTTTTAGCTCAACTCAAATTTAGAATTTAAAATTTTTAATTTAGAATATAATACTTTTAATTAGCTGAATTACTCCATTAATTTTTTTTCTTTTATGATTAGATATTAAGATCTCCAATTAACATGGACCACAGAGTGACACTGTTGGGTGATGTTGAATCTATTGACTTATATATGCAATGATACCCACCTCTATGTTTTCTCCTGAGTAAAGGTTATTGCTTAGAATATTTCGGTCATAGGCTGCCGGCCGGGGATACCGTTTTGTTTGCTTCAGCAGAAGCAGTCAATTGGATTTTCTTTGGCTGAGATTAATTAAGAGGGTTGTAGTGATGGTGACATGTCGAGCTCCTTTGCGGCGATCGGACCTTGTTAATCAGTACGTTTTAGTTGCATGTACGGACTAGCATGGCTTGAGGGAGCTAGCCTAGATACACCACGAATCTCTCTCAGTCTCAGATTTGTCTCTTGAACACTCTTGCGTTTCGTTTGTCAGTATTCTTGGATTGTGTTGTAACTCTAAATATTTCTATATATTTTTTATTATATTAAGAATATATAAAATATTAAGTATATTTAATATTTTTAAAAAAATTAGTGAAATATCAGTTTCAATTTTTTTAAAAAAGTTAGAGTTTTAATTTATATTTAAAAATTAAAATTTCAATTTAAAATTCAGAGAAATCTAATTAGTTTTTAAATTTAAATATTAATATTTAATAAAATAAATTTTTAAATTTTAAATTAAGCTTTAATTAAATAAAATGACGTATTTTAAGGTTGAGATTTTAATTTTGTTTGAGAATTCAAATTGATATGCATTTTTTCATAATAAAAATATATAAAATTAATTAAGAATATAAATTTATTTTTTTAAACAAAATATTGTGTGAAACAAGAACAAATGAAGCAATAAGATAGCATGGGTTGGGGGTAGTCTCTGCACTTGTGTGGTATTGTCTCTTCTCATTGCTTTTCCACTTGAGCGCTGAGAAGTCTTCCTAGTAGTTATGTATGGCATATTTTTCATAAGTAGTGCTCTTTCTTTCCACTAGTGCTAGATATACATTGGATTGGAATTTTAATCCAGTATTAATTGTCCATTTGTTATTTCTTAATTATTTTTAGTACATAAAAAAAAACCACTAATATTGCAAGAGATTAAATTAATTACTAACTCGATAAAATTCTTATTAATTGTTCAATTAGACATTTCTTGTATTGTAACTGCTATACATATAGAACCAACGAGCTTAGGTCAGAGAGGTAGCCAGTACCTTTGTACACACTGATTAATTCCAAATTAAGTATGGGTAATTGATAAAAGAGAAGTCTTGCGACCGCACGCTAGCCTTTATCTTAAAAATATGCATGTATTAGTTTCAATTGTCTCCTACTAAGAGTGATCAAGAAAAAAGAACTCTAAGAGTTGAATGTATTGGTAAATAAGCATTGTTTTATAAATTAGATTTAGATTTCAAATTATTGGGATTAATACCTAAAGAAATTGATTTCTTTAAATACATTAAATCAATGCTAGGAGTTCACTTTTACAATCATTAAAAGATGAATTAATTTCAAAATATGTAAAAATTGATATGAAAACAATCTGTTAGTCCAAAAAAAAAAAAAAATAGTGAAAGAAAAAGAAAAATGAAATAGAGAAACTGTTACATACTTTCTTCTTCTTTTCCATGGTGGGATGTTGACGACAAATCTGTTTTTGCTTACTACATACTGATCTAAGTGGTATTGAAGACAAACTATAGTGGTTGTCATAATTAATTAAATTTCACCTACTTTAATTATTGTGCAAATAATTAATGTGATTTATGTTCTAAATCATTTTTAGTAGATTTGTTACTTCAGGAATAAGATACAGACTATATTCTCCATAGACCTTAATGAAATTAGAGAGGGACTATACGACAAGACCAATTAAGCCTCAAGTCAATTAGTTCAAAATTTATATATTTTTTGGTTTTAAAAAAATTGGTTAAAAATTTAGAGATCTTTCAATTCCTGTATATATATGAAGTTTCTTAAATTTTTTTTTTTCTAATTTTACATGTATTATGCTTAAATGGTTAAATTTGTACTGTTTACACTTGATTAATTATATAGGGGACTATATAGCTAGGGAGCTATAGTGTTTTTGATCCACTCGATCGACTTAGCAAACTTTTAAAAAATTTTCAAAATATTAATTATTTAATCAAAGTAATGACAATCTAGTGTTGTGCTTGATCCATTTGCGCAGCCATTGAGAAAATATATATATATGTTATTGCGCGTGCAATCTTATTAAGGTTAATTAAGATTCCATGAAGTTTCGAGAGCTAGCTAACGTGTTGCTCGCCTTCTAATGTTTTATGCAATGATCCCCAACCCTTATGTAAAGAACCAATTAGGTTGGAGGACTTGCCTGGCTCTAATTATAATTTTCCAATGTTTTAACTTTTATTTATTTATTTTAAATTAATAAAAAAAATAAAAATATTATTAAAAAGTATAAGAAGTATTTCAACCCATTAGAAGTTATAAAAATATCAACATTTTTTACTTAAGTGAGTCCTTCAAAGGTTTTGGACATCTATAAGGGACTCCTCAAGGATCATCAGTGTACCTCTTGTTCCTTAAATATGGCCTAATGAGAGACAAATGAGACCCTCAAAAATAAAAGGATCATAATTTGGGAGCTTGATTTTAAATTTCAGCTCAATGAATTAATTCTTGTAACTATAGAGAAAGAGAGCCTCTATCTCGCTAGAATTTAAAATAGACCATAATTTTTTTGTGGTACTTTTGGTTTTTTTTTTTTTTTTTTTTTTTTTTTTTTTTTTTT